AAAATTAATTCTCCAAGTGATATTTTTCAAATTCAAACAACGTACCGTAGTCTTTCCACGCTCACTTTCTTTTCTTTTTGCCATTTCCATGCCTTCAAACCTTTGTCGCACAGTTTCAAATCAATATCCTTTTCGAAAGGTGTTTCATTAAGTTTTGCTTCCTTCCATCCGTGAAGCATGAAATCTGCTTTGCACCAACTAAGATGGTTACATTTTGTAAAAATTTCATCGTATCAAAACCTACTATCCATTTGTAGCCCATCCATCGCGAACAAAGCCGTGAAATTTACGAAGAATATGCACTTTGCCGGGCCACGTTTTCGTCACTCCTAGAGCCTGCCTCACACAATAAACCATAGCCATATATGTTTCGTAACTAGTGGCATTTTTCCAGTATCTTTCACAGGCTTCATACTCAAGAGTACTCTCCGGGATCAGCAGCTTTAGGAGGAGTAACTAAAATGATGAAAACATTGCATTTCTATCTTAGAAATATCGGGATTCTCTTTATAAGTAAAATATAGACAAGACATGCTCTCTTCATAGGTTACGAGGTAGCAGCCTAGATATCTAAGGGTTACATCACGTAATGTTACCTGTAAAGGTCCTTGATCATACCCGTGCCATGAGTTGGGCAGTCGGAATTCAAAATTGGCCCATTCTTGAAGAAACTTCATTCCAAATTCTGAGTTTTTTACCTAAACCAGTTTTAAAGCCCTAAAGACATAGACCATTAGAGAGAAGTACCAAATAGTTGCCAGCCGCTATCTCCCAGTTGAAGAAGCGTTCGTACAATATAACGTTGACGCGATCATCAATATATTCTTCTATGCAATGGTTGGGATTGATAACTCCTGAAAGATGATTGGTACAAAAAGCTCCAACTTCGATTTTTTTATCATCCGCAAAGTATTCGGTGTTCTCGAGATTGAAATATTCATCTTCAAACAAAACCAGCTAGAATATTTAAAAACGACTTGCATTGGTTTGAATGCTATTCATGGAGACACTTGTGCTGGGTTCCCGCGCAAAAGCGTGTAGACCGCAAGTCCTCGCCAAACACGGCGCGGAAACGAGCACGGATCTTGCTTATACTCCACAAAACTCAAACAAAAAAATGCCGCATGTCTTAACACCCTGGAGGGAACGTAGCTCAAAAAAGCTTCGTACCTTAAAGCTATAGTGTTTTGATGAAGCGGTCTGATTACCCACAAGTGTTTTTTTTTAATTTCTAGACATCTTGAACAAGAGCGAGAGTTTGTACAAGATGCATTTTCCATTGTAGGGTCCCCTGATATTCTCGTGCTGGAACGTTTTTGTTTACAGTCATTTTTCTTTCTTTCAAGTTAGTGGGAACAAATCAAAGTATAGATATGTATGACACAACAATGCTAAGCATGTTTCGTTGAAAGCGAGTGATTTATCAAGATGTTCAGAATTTCGGCAGATCCCAACTTTCTGCTTGTGGCATCGTAATTTCTTTTCTAGGTTAGAAACCGAGGAATAATTTTCAACCTCCAGCAAAGCGATGTTATGGCGCTTCTTATAAGCCCCAAGGTTCTTAGAGGCGTTAGTTTTCAGAGACGTCGATTCCGCCTTTCTTGTCAAAATCTTTCATGTTCAAATCAGTATTTCTCGGAAATTATAGCTCACAGAAAGCTAAAACTCCGCGGTTATACTTAGGTGGGAGCAGCACAGCATCGCATTTTTTGCAAATTTAGAAACTCTGACTTTCTCGGTTTCTGGCATATTATATGCTTACTTATGTGGCGTGTATATGCGTGAGCGAGTGGAAAGTCCGGTAAGTTTTCTTTAAACGGGGATGAAAATTTTTTTCAATTTTTCGCTTCCGAAACGTCTCAGATTTCGGGTTGTAGCTCGTGTCATATATACCATCTTGAACGCTTGCTTTGTTCTATTGAACGTTA